CCTACCCTCAGGTGCTTGAGAGAATAGTTTGACTCCTTCTTCTTTGGGGCATCCCCTGAGATATTGGAAGACTGCTATCATGTATCCCCTGTTCCTTCTTTTCATTAAACTAGACATACCCAGTTCCTGCAATTGTTCTTCATATGTTTTAGTCTCCATTCCCCTAATCCTCTTTGTTGCTCTTCTCTGCACTCTTTCTAGAGTCTCCACATCTTTTTTACATCGTGTTGACCAAAACTGAATGCAGTATTCCAAGTGCTGGTGGTTCTGTTCATCATTAAACCATCTTTTCAACCAGCCTCCATGTTTCCAACATCTTTCTCCCAGCTTGGAACTGAACTAGATGGATTTTCCTTCCAACATTAATGTCTTCAGGAAACCAGGTCAGGAATATCTGATTTAAGAAGTCTTGCAAAAGCACTTTTATATGTTGAAATTGAATCTAGTTCCTATTTCAGCTGCTTCCAACCCATTCAAAATATAGTGGAATCTAAAGCTGAACACATATTCAAAGCCTAGAGACTTCAAAGGGGAAATTAAACTTTGGAAAAGTCACCATGATATATTGTTTTGTTTCTGAAAACTGGTAAAATAAAACATACAGAAAGCACTGGCAATCTCTTTATAGACACCTTTGATTGTTAAAGTATTTCTTATTGTTTCTACAGCATCCAGGTGCCCTGAGGAAAACATGTAAATTCACAGCGATATTCATTTGATTGCTATAGTTGCATTATAATATATAGCAAAATCTTGCCCCATCAACATGCAATGTAGCTTTGGCAAAAGATGAATCTTTAGAATGAAAGTTAATGAAAGTAACTTCAAACATGGTTAATTAAAATATTATGATATACTGTTTTGAATTAGCCTGAACGTCTCATCTTTGCTTAGTACAACAAGTATTTTGAAAAACCAGCAACTGATTTATTTTTTCTGCATTTGCTTAATAGCCAGAGGGCATGCTGGGAATCACAGGCTAAAATTAACAAAATCGGTTTCTATTGCTTTTCTTAAAACAAACAATTGCTTGTTAAATTTTAGCAGAGTATAATTCCACCCCACCCTCCCACCTACCCCCAAATACTCACAGGCACACATGTAATGTTTCCCTGATGCTTGAGGGCTGGAATGCATATCGCTCCTATTAAAGTGGCCGTTGTGGAATATTTATCAATGCTATTGTACCAGGGGTGGGTTCCTGCCAGTTCTAACCTCTTCTATAGAAGAGGTTCCATAAATCTACCGCGCCGTTTAGAACCGGTTCCAGCTCCTTCCCCCCGCCCGTCTGCACATCATCAAGATGAAGAGCGAGAGGAGGAATTCTGGGAGTTGAAGTCCACANCACTGGTCTAGTCTGATGAAAAGAAGGACTACGGGTGACCTGATAGCAGCATTCTAATATCTCAGAGGCTGCCACAGAGAAGAGGGGGGGGGGGTCCACCAGTGGTGGGTTCCAGGAGGTATGGCCTAGTACCGGCATACCAGTTGTAGCTGGGAGCAGCAGCCACTGTACCGGAACGGTGGCTTGTTTGGCCCACCCGTGTGCGTGCACGACAAGGATGCCCAGCCCTTGCAGCGTATCGGTTGCGACGGGATACGGAACCCACTACTGGGGTCAACCTATTCTCCAAAGCACCTGAAGACAGAACAAGAAGCAACGGGTGGGAACTAATCTAGGACAGAATCAACCTAGAAATAAGAAGAATTTTTCCGACCAGTGGAACAATTAATCAGTGGAACGACTTGCCTCCGGAAGTTGTAGGTACTCCAACACTGGAGGTTTTGAAGAGACCAGACAGCCATTTGTCCAGAATGGACTCCTGCTTGAGCAGTGGGTTGGACTAGAAGACCTCCAAGGTCCCTTCCAACTCTGTTATTCTGAAAGTCCTCTTCACTGGGGTTTCCTTGCATTCTTGCAAACTGAGAGCTTCAGACCGTTCTTCTTTTCTTTTCTATACAGGCTGATGCCATCTATGACATGATTGGCTTCCCCGAGTTCATTTTTGACAACAAGGAGCTGGATGATGTCTACGATGGGGTGAGAACCTAGGACAGCAGCATGAAAGGCATGGAAATTTCTCAGGGCCTGGTGGTCTCAAGAGAAATAAAGAGGAGCTGCTCCAGTTTTTATTGGCCTGATACCGGGGGTTCAAATGTTGGGTCAAATGCGCTTGGTTCAGCTTGCTGTTTCATACAGTGTGTGAAGCCAGGCTTTGTAATTTCTTCACTATTGCATGGCTTAATGGTGATTTTACATAGTACAGACTAAAATAGTTTGGAGACAACTTGTGGATCACTGTGTTGTAAGAAACCAGATTTCAGGGTTCCAAACAGCATCCAAAATTAAATCAGAGTCCAAGGCAAAGTATTGCTCAAAGTTCCAATTGATTAAGAGAGCCATGTTGGCACAACTGGTTTGGTTTGGTTGGTTTTGGTTTATTGGTTTTGTATGCCGCCCACTCCCGAAGGACTCCGGGCAGCTCACAATAAACAGGGGAGGGAATAAATAAGACAATACAAACAATTTTAAAATCCAAAACAGTCACAATTAAGATGGGGCTGGGTGCTTTAACAGCCCCCAGCCTGCCGGAACAGCCAGGACTTAGTAGCTTTACGGAAGGCCGGGAGGGTAGTAAGAGTCCGGATCTCCATGGGGAGCTCGCAGCAACAGAGAAGGTTCTCCCCCGGGGGGTTGCCAGCCGACATTGGCTGGCAGATGGAACCCGGAGAAGGCCAACCCAAATCTGAAAGCTTCCCAGTTTTCCCCCGCCCATTTGAAAGTTCAAGATCTTGCCCCCACACCCACGAGTCCATCACATGGTCCAATCGTCTGCCATTCTGGCAGTTCCACCTATCCAGTTCCAGTCAAGTGCAGAGGTGCAAAGACAAAGGATGACCTTGGCTTTCTAGAAAGAATGTTGTTATGGCTACATAGCATCTAATTCTGTACAATCCCCCCCTCCCATTTTCCCACAATAGAAAATGTATAGCAGAATAATAGAAAGTGTGGCAGGCCAAAGACCTAAAAGAAAAGATGATTGCAGGCCTGACACCAGCTGTTGCAGGGATGTTCACAATGGTGGGATTCAAATAATTTAACAACCAGTTCTCTGCCCTAATGACCAGCTGGGTGGGTCTGGCTCGGTGGTCATGTGATCATGTGGGCATGGCCAACATCTCTCAGGTCGATGGGCGCTTCGCCTTAGCTGTTGCAATGTAATGAGGGTTAACGGGAGATGCTTTCTGTAAGCAGGGCAATAAAGATGAGGCTAGAAACAACACCAGAATGTTTCCTTCCTGCCTTCCTTACAGGATTAGCTCCGTGAAGTGGGAAAAAAACCAAAATGCGATTTCTTCCAATAACTGGTTCGCCGAACAGCTTGGAAAGTTAACAACCGGTTCTCCCGAATAGGTGTGAACCGGCTGAAACCCACCACTGGATCATGTCCAATCTTGGCCACTTTAAGACGTGCGGACTTCAACTCCCAGAATTCCTTAGCCAGCGTGGCAGTACTAGCTATGGAATTCTGGGAGTTCAAGTCCACACGTCTTAAAGCGATCAAGGTTGGACACCCCTAAGCTATTGTTTTAGCAAGCCACATAGACCAAGACACCTACTGACCAATTTCTTAAGGCCTAGGATGATATGTGAATAATTTGTGCTTTTATTTATTTCTTATTATTTATTTATTTATTTATTTATTTATTTATTTAATTATTTATTAAATTTAAATGCTGCCCAATCCCGAAGGACTCTTTTTCCTTTAGATTGTAGCTACTTGATAACCTAGTGTTGCCTGGGTATTTATTAATGAGGGGGAAATGTCCAGACCAAACGTAATTTCTAATATTGGATATTCCCCAATAGAGGGAGCCACCTTGTGGAGTACTGTGAAGCCGTTACCATGGCAACTCCACTGCACTGTACAGTAGAGGCCACGTTAAGGCACAACAGGCTGTATCTTAACAGAACACACACTCCTAGGGGTGTTGGGGGTGTCTTACCCCCAGAATATTATTTTCCAGAGAGTAAGTCATCTGTGTACCAAGTTTGGTTGAAATTGCTCAAGGCATTCCAGAGTTATGCTGTAACATACACAAACACAGCCATTTTTATACATACTGTTTAGATAGATAGAAGAAGATTTACTGGAAATGCTTGATTTTCTGCATTCAAGGCACGTTATTGAGCAATGGAGGTTTCCCTCTTTAAGACTGAAATGTATTTCTTTCTTTCTTCATCTTCTTCTTCCAGTATGAGGTCTCGGAAGACTCTTTCTTTCAGAATATGTTGAATTTCTACAACTTCTCGGCCAGGTTTATGGCAGACCAACTGAGGAAGCCTCCCAACCGGGACCAGTAAGGATACCTTTTTTCCCAGTCATGGCATAAGATGGGATTAGGAAGGGAGGGCAAATTCCCTCGATTTGACACAACAACGCAAGATGAAGAGGTAGACAACCCTTAGGCCAAAATCCAACACTGAAAGTCGAACAGAGAAAATCCGGATTCAGAAAAACAAGTTCTAAAATTTGATTCAGAGGATTAGGCACTGAAGCATGAATGAAGTTCTGGCACAGGTTGGTTAGTTAGTTAGTTAGTTAGTTAGTTAGTTAGTTAGTTAGTGTCAGAGTTTGTTGCAGAAATGAAATCCAGAAAGCACACATAGATAACTGATTCAGCAGGATTCATTAACTTCTTTATATACATAATAGAACCTAAGTAAATATAGCAATAGCAATAGCAGTTAGACTTATATACCGCTTCATAGGGCTTTCAGCCCTCTCTAAGAGCTTTACAGAGTCAGCATATTGCCCCCAACAACAATCCGGGTCCTCATTTTACCCACCTCGGAAGGATGGAAGGCTGAGTCAACCCTGAGCCGGT